AAAAAAAAAAAAAAAAAAAAAAAAACCTTGCATAAATGCTCCTAAAACCACAATTTAGAAATAATTAAGGGAAAGATACCAAAAGACTAGAGATGAGAAAAACTGGATATTTTTTAGAAAGAAAGTGGATTTCATATTGTACAGTGTGGTAGATTTGATACTGATCATCATAGAAATCCTAAGATGAATTATTCTTCAAATGGTTTATGCCTCTTGGATGAGGAGCAGCAATCACTAGAAACTAGCATGGGTTCACTGAGAACAAGGCATATTAAATGGAATCCCATTTCTGTATTCCACCAGTTTGCTAGTTATGTAAATCAGCAAAATACTGCCAATATGGCAAGGCCCCTGACACAGTCTGCCTTGATATTCTTGTGAGTTGAATGGAAATTGAGGGCTACACCATAGTTAATTGACCAACTATGCCCAGGCAGCTGATTACATCAACATCTGAGAACATCTTGTCGTAAATCATAGGGCTTCATCTTTGGCTGTATCCTCTGTTTTATCAAGGATTTAGATGGGGATGCAGAAAGCATGCTTATTGAGTTCATGGATGGGATAGCAGAGTCAGGACTCAAAATATCACTACAGGCTGTGGGACTGGCTAAAACTAGCAAGGTGAGATTCAACAGGGATAGAAGTAAAGTCAGTATTCGGGCTTAAAATAAAACCTGTGCAGGTACAGACAGGGGACACCTGGTTTAAGAATAACATGTGAAAAATACTTAAGGCTTACTGTCTAGCAGATTACAAGGTATAAGGCTGCTAAAACATTTTCTGTAATCTCAGACCACTGCTAGAGGTATTCTACCCAGGGCAAAAGAGGCAATCATCTCATTTTCCTGGAGCAGTGTTCCTGACAAGTCAGAACTTCTCCAGGAAGGACAAATACAATGGTGAATCATCTCAGAAGCTTGCCATAAGAGTAACTAGGCAATGGCTGGTGGAGCTAAAGATATTTCTAGATATATAACCTAAAAAAAGGTATTGCACTTGTGTATAAGAAAACGCATATAAGTATGCTTCTAGCAGCATTCATTGTTATAGCTACAAACAGAAATAACCTGAATGTCCATCAACAGGAGAACGGCTAAAGAAAACGTAGTATATTCATGAATCTCACAAATATAATTAGAATGGTAAAAGGAAGTAGAATAAGAATACCTACAACATGATAGCATTTATTTACATCTAGAAACATGTACAATAATGATATTTACTGTTCAGTGATACATATATATGAAGTAAAGTAATAAAGAAATTCATGGGAGTGAGAACTACCAACTTCAGAGGAGTGGTTATGTCTCAGTGGAAAGGGAGGGCAAGGCAGTATGTGGTGGAAAAGCACAATTCTTATTCTATTTGCAATGTTTTATTTCTTAAGCTGGTGGGTGGATATATAGGTCCATATTACTTTACTCTGTATATAATTTTCTATGTTTGAAATACCCATTATGCATTTTGGGGGAGGAATTTTAAAAATGCAATGAAATTCTCATGGCATAAAATTAACAATTTTAAAGTGAACAATTCAGTGGCATTTTGTACATTCACAATGTGTGCAACCACCGACTCTATCTAATTTCAAAACATTTCTATCACTATGAGTGAAATCACATATCCATTAGGTAGTTACTCTTTATTCTCTATAGAAGTGTTTTTGTTCTTTTGTCTGTTTGTATAGTGAAATTTTTTAAAAAATAGATTTTTATTTTTCAGAGCAGCTTTAAGTTCACAGCAGAATTGAGTGAAAGGTACAGACACTTCCCAAGTGCCTCTACCTCAACACATTCACAACCTCCCCAGCTATCAACATCCCCCACCAGAGTGGCACACCTGTTATAATTGATGAACCTAAATTGACACATCATTATGCTACAGTTTGCATTAGGATTTGCTCTTGGTGTACATATTTTGGGTTTGGAAAAATGTATAATAACATGTATCCACCATTACGGTATCACACAAAGTAGTTTCACTGCCCTAAAATTTCCCTCTTCTCTGCCTATTCATCCCTCTCCATAATGCGTTTTTAAGGAGGGTGCTTTGGTGAAACCCCATCTCTACTAAAAATACAAAAATTAGCTGGACATGGTGATGCGTGCCTGTAATTCCAGCTACTTGGGAGGCTGAGGCAGGAGAATCACATGAACCTGGGAGGCAGAGGTTGCAGTGAGCTGAGATCGCACCACTGCACTCCAGCCTTACGACAGACAGAGACTCCATCTAAAAAAGTTATACTTAAGAAGAAAAGGGGAAGCATAATAACTATCTTTCTTTAAACATCTTAAAACTTTTCCTATGGAAGAGAAATACAGTTTTTATCCTGTAAAGCTCCCATGGGATCAATAAATGGGTGTCAGAAGAAGGAGGAGTTTGGTTTAACATAAGGAAGAACATTCTAATAAGAATGGAGCAATATGTTATAGTATTTTAGTAACTCTAGAGTTGGGTTAAAGTCTGTCTAACACACTGATTTTGGGAAAGTTGCTTAACTTCTCTGAGCTTTCGTTTCCTCATATCTATAATGTAGATAATAATAGTACTGACCCAATAGAATTACTGTGAGGAATAATTTCAATGAGGCATATACATTATAGAACAGTGAATAGCACAGAATGAGTGCTGCACAGATATAAAATAATTATGAAAAATAAACGAAGAGTTGTCCATAGATAGAATTGCTGTCTTGTACGACACTGAGCTTCTCAAAGCTACCGAAGTTCAAGCTGAGGTTGGACGTGAACTGTCCAAGGTGCTGGAGAGAGGGACTTCTGCGAAAAGGGATATTAGGGTAGATGTTTCCTATTATCCTCCTCATACATTGTTGAATCTAAACAGTCTTTGAAACTGAATTGTCACATTGTTGGGTGCTTCAAGTGTGATGTATATTGGTTATTTATTACTAATGAGTAATATTACCACAAACTTAGTGGCTTAAAACTACACACATTATCATACCACTTCTGTGGAATAGGAGTCTGGGTATGGCTTTGTTGGGTTCTGTGGCTTAGGGTCTCATCTGAAAGCTGCAACCTAAATGTTGACCAGGACTGTGGTCTCTTCTTAATTGGATAAAGATCTGCTTCCAATGTCATGTGGTTGTTAGCAGAATTCAGTTCCTTCTGGCTTGTATCTGAATCTGAACTGAAGGTCTCAGATTCTTGCTGACTGTCTGTGAGAGGCTGTCCTCAATTCCCGGTGATTGTTGGGCAGTGGGGGGACATCCTCAGCTCCGTGCTTTACACTGGAAACATAAGACTTTCCAACATGGCTTCTTGCTTCATCAAAACCATCAAGGGAGGGAAGCTGCCAACAAGATGTCATCATCTTCCACAACATAATCATGGAAGTGACATCTCAACACTTTTACTATAGGGTGTTGGTTAGAAGTGCATCACAGGTCCCACTCACACTTCTGGTGAGGAGACTACATAAAAGCATGAGCACCAGGAGGCATGGATCATGGGGGCCATTTCTGAGTTTGTCTGCCCAAGGCAGGGGACTGTGCTGAGGATACAGGAGTACTAGTGCCTCCCTGGGTACATGAGAGGGAGCAACAGAGGAGTTGGATACACATGCACAAATACAGAAGAGTAAAACTGAGGCTGAGAAGTAGCAAGAGGAGGAGAGTCAGGGAGGCTGAGAGGCCAAACAACTTAAAAACCAGAGTTCAGAGAAGGCGAGTGTAACAGGGACACCCAGGCTCACCATTATGGGTGATGGAGTCCTTCTTGGAGTGAGGACAGGCTGCACCTGGAATCTTGCCAGAAAAGGCTCTGTTTTCACAGAGCTTAGGAGGTGGTTTTCAGCATAATGTATTTTCGTACAAGTTGGATTTAGAAAAAGATAAAAGATATATGCTAAAGTCAGGCTTGGTTCTTTACCAGGCAGTATACCAGTCCTTTACACACTTGAATATGATTTATCCTTCATGGACATTACTTGTGTTGTGCTATGCATGATTAAAGCTGACTGATAACTGATCTGGGTATTTTAAGCTTGGTGTTTAGACTGTTAGCCTTCTGATGAGGGGGTGGAAAGGAATGAAAAGGCAAGGAGCTGAGGCCAAAACCAAAAAATGGCCTTCCCCAGTGGCCAGAGGCCCATCTTCAGAATGGCTCTGTATTTCATTACATGCCAACAAGGCTGTCAGTCTTCTTATTTGGAGAGGTATTTGCAGAGGGGCCCAGGAACTTAAGTTGCAGCCCTGGCTGCTCTCAATTAGATACTTTCTACATGATTATTCTATATAAGTATCCAGGGTTGAAGCAGACTGTCTGAGCCTGTATACCTTGCTTTGAATAAGGTGTAGAGAAGCTTCAAATCAGTGAATAATAGATTCATGTAAAGCTGGCAGTAAGATGGTTGGTGATAATCCTATAGCCACACAACTCATAGTTGGAAGGAGCCTTCTAGCCAAATCCTCCTATTCAAGGCTGAAATCAGAGACAGCTTGGGTTAGGTACTTTAGATTCTTCATGATTTTATGCTTCTGGTTTTTGGTTAACAGTAAAGTAAGGAGACTTTTAAATCTCTGGAAAATAAAGGTCCTAATATGAGTTCAGAAAATGGGTATAAGAGCTTCAGTTTGAGACCAAACAGCCTTGACAATATTTTCCCCAGATGACTAGCTCATGGTGTGTTTCAATTATCATTCCGTCAATAGAGCTGAATCTTGCATCTTTTAAGTGTCTTCATTTCCAGTCAAAACCTGAGGAGATTTTTTTTTTTCTGCTGTCAGTTGTCAGTGAGTCAGCACTAATGTGCTTATGAATCAGACAGTGTGGGTGAGCCACACATTCATCAATACTCTGGAATAGAGGGGCAGCCTGGGAGCTGATGTCTTTATGGAATACCAGGGAAGTTCTTCTAGATGTGGACCTAGGCTGAGAGGTCTTATTAGGAACTAGAAAATGTGCTTCTAAAGCAGTAACCGAAGTTGTCTGTCAGCTCCTCTCCTGACACTTGCAAGAACTTGACTGCCTCAAATATCTGAGATTTTCCCCTTCTGTATGTATCTGTAGGAGGTGGAGGAGAGCAAAGGGGAAACAAGCAGGGGCCCAGGGAATACCTCCTCTGGGCCAGGCACTGTGTAGGGTTCTCTTCTTAGGTTGTCTCATTTGACATCTACCATTCCCTCTATTTTGGCTTTCTTAAGCTTGCAGCACCTAGCACTATGCTTAATCCATGCTAGAAGTTCTATACAAGTTGCTTAACTAAAAAAAATTAAATCAATACTTGGAGGAAGAAGGAGCGTTGGCTAGAGAGTAAAGAGACCTGTGTTCTAGCCTAGCCTTTCCCCCCTGCTGGATGACCTTGGCATAACCATCTACTGTGCACCACAGATTCTCCATTCATTAAATGAGAGGATGAATAAGATGATCTCTAAGACTCAAGGAGCTCTAATCCCCAGTGGTTTTATGATTGAATAGACATGGGAATGGGAGAATCCTGGATTTCACAATGGGAGAAATAACTAAAACAAAGAGAACCATTCTACTCAGCAGCTCAGCCTCCTCAGATATGGACATGCTCAGGTGTGGGGGCTGGAGAAATCATGGAGCTGGGAGCCTGTCCTTAGCAGGAATAGTGCACTGCCCCAGCTAGCTCTTGGCAAACACAATTTTGCTTGAGAAGGCACAAAGTTAACTAGCTCCAGGAGAAATAATTACCAAAGTGCCTGAAATAATTATAATTTTGAGACAAATAAAACCCTATGCTATGTGTCAATTCCCTGAGAAATACATACACTCACAAAATTATAAGCAAAAGTTCATTGCCTGAACTCTGATGAGCACCAGCCTCAAAATATGCCTGATTTTAAAAGTCAGAAATGCAGAAAAAGTATCTTTTTTTGACATGTAGGACATCTTTTTGTTAATCCCTTAGGAAGATGTATAAGCATGTGTTCATGCACCCATGCACACACCCGAGTTTAGAGATAGGGGTGCCATCTGTAAAGTGGAGACGATAGCACCTTTGACTCTTGGCTCAGCCTATAGTATTCGAATTTGTCTGGCAATGCAGGGCTCTGACTCCATGCCACACTTAAGAACAAAAGCTAACACAGAGTGAACATATGCAGTGGGCCTTTGAAAAGTATTGAAAATGCCAAGTCTCTGGGTGTTTGACCAGGGAGGAAATGTGCCCATTTCCACTCATCCCACGAGAGAAGAAGGGCAGCCTGCTTCCGGCCATCGTTCATGAGCACTTAGTTCACTGCAATTGTTCATTTTGTGGGATGCTTAGAATTTAAGATAATGCATTTGTTCTGCCCACAAAATGACCATATTTCCATTAGTGCATTTTGAATCTTGTTTTTCCAGAATTGGGTGATTTGTGTGTGTGTGTGTGTGTGTGTGTGTGTGTGTGTGTGTGTGTGTGCCTGTATATGCATATGTCTGTATATGTACACAAATGTGTATGTGTTTCAAGATGGGCTGAAATTATTAATCATACACTCAAGTTCCGAGTCACTTCATATTATTATTGCATTTTTCTTTCTTTCGGAATTGAAAATGCTGCAGAACCAAGGAGCTACTCTTGTCTTAATTACCACAGAAATATTGCTAATTAGAAACAAGGGAAGAAGTGTTAGGGATTTGTCTCAGAATCAAAGACAGCATTACTTTCCAATGGATATTAAAAGACTTGCAAAAGAGGCTAAGATGATGTGGTGGATAGAGTTGTGAAGTGGTTTTAGGGCCCCAGTGGCAAACGGCTGGAAGAGGAAATTAAATATCTAGGAGGAAAATGTTCTCAGATGGTGGAATTATGCCTGCAGCCATAACACTGGATGCTATGATCCTGTCTACCTCAATCACAAAATGGATCAAGAGATCTCCAAGGAATCTGAGGGTGGAAAAAGTGTTGGTGGCTCACACATGAGCCTTTCTAATCCCCTTAGCCCTCAGCCGCCATTGAGGCAGACACAAACCCTAATGTTTTGAATACGGTGGCTTTCATCCCCGCCACTTTTCCCATCATTTTTTTCACCATTTCTTTAGCCTCAAACTTTGTGTGTGCTTGAGGAATAAATCAAAAGCTTAAAAGATAATGTGAAGTCTGTCTTTGGTGATATATTTCATGTGGCAAAGCCCCTGTGTTTGTGGAAGACTGAACTGGATGACCGGAGCTCCAAGCAGATCATATGGGATGGCTGGGGTGGCTCGTGGTCCCGATCAAGAGGGCTCTCAGGTCTAGTTCAAATTCCCAGGCTATGGACCAGCCATGGTGGCCAACTCTAATGATGAAGACAGCTTTATACTCATGAGTTATGTCATTAGGCTCAGAGTTCAAGTGTTTCCATTTCTGAAGCCAATAATTAAGTCTGGAGGCATGAGAGAAGAGGCAGGAATAAGATCCGAAAATTCGGAATGGGAGTAATTCAGGAACAGGAAGGAAAAAGTTAGGAAATGATGCGGTGGACAGACATGGAAGACAAAGAATAGAAAGACTCAATATTCACAGATTTAGGAACCTCAAATATACAATGTACCAGAGATAATGACTTATTCCCAAATTGTGTCATATTTCCCCTTTCCTTACATAGATGGCTTCAGTCAGCACATGAAGTAGCAGGAGGTTTGGAGTCCAGGCTGTGTGACCGTGGATAAGTCAACCAGCCTCTAAGAGTTCCAGTTTCTTCTCTATATATGATTCCTCACCCTGAGTACTGCATATGGTTATTAGGAAGATCAAGCAAGTTAACATATATGCAGGGACTTTGTAAACTGGATAGCACCACATGCATAGAAGACATGATTACAGTTGTGTCTCAGCTCTCTACAGATGGGCCCTGTCATTCAGAATATTGTGGGGGTTAGCAGAAAGAACTGGAGGTATGTGCTCGCCTGCAAGGGCATCACTGTCAAGTCAGGTTAAGGTTATCAGAAACAATGCTTTTCCACCTCCCACCCCTACCATGGGATGAGAGGAGAGTGTTCTTATTATCAAGGTACTATGCAAATTAGATAGTTTTGTATGGCCTCCTAGCTACTGACATGGAATTTGAAAAGTGAAATGATACGATAAGATTTTTTCACAAAAAATATTTCCTGGCTCATTCCTCCTCAACCCTGAGGGCTGTTCCTCAGAGGCAACCACTTTTAGCCATTTATTTTAGTATTTACGTAAATAAGTTTAGATAATATATTTAAATATACTGCTATTTCTTGAGTAAGTTTTTGCTTTTCAGATTTAGAAATCATATGCTGATTTACGCCTGTGGAAGGTGAGGACTTAGACCCTTACAGCGCCCGCTCCACCCCACTCACCCACACA